GATAATGATAAAAGATAGAGAGAGATAGAGATAGGCAGATCGATAGATAGATAGATAGAGATAGATGGATAGATAGACAGATAGATAGATAGATAGATAGATAGATAGAGAGAGAGAGAGAGAGAGAGAGAGAGAGAGAGAGAGAGAGAGAGAGAGAGAGAGAGAGAGAGAGAGAGAGAGAGAGAGAGAGAGAGAGAGAGAGAGAGAGACCGGCTGATAATCACAGTTGGACGTTTAGTATGTCAATTATTGTATTTTTTTTTACAACTTGTTCTTCCTTTCTTTCAATTATTCACTTTATTCCTTACTATTTCAAAAAAAAAAAAAAAAATTATCGTCATAGGCATTGTTATTATGATATTACTGATACTAATATTGATGATAATGGTAATGATAATGTTGATAATAATAATGATAGTAATAGCAATAATAATAATGATAATTATAACAACAAAAATAATGATGATGATAATGATAATGATGATAATAGTAAGGAAAAAATTATGATAGTAATAATGATGATGATAATGATAACATAATACACCTATTACTTTAATTATCGGTATAATTATCATTATTACTGTTATTATTGCTATCATTACTATTGTTATTATTACTGTTATTATTATTATCATTATTACCATTATTATTGTTAATATTATCATTATTGTCATTACGATTTTCAAAGTTATTATTATTGTTATTATCATTATCATTATCATTACTATTATCGTCATTATCATTATCATTATAATCATCAATATTATCATCCCTATTATTACTATCATTATTATTATTATCATTGTTATTTTTTTTTTTGTTTGTTATTATTATTATTATTATTATTGTTATCATTATTATCAGCATCATTATCATTATTATTATTGTTATTATCATTATTATTATCCTCATCATCACTGTTATTATCACTATTATTATTATTATTATTATTATTATTATTATTATTATTATTATTATTATTATCTTTATCATTATTATTATTATTATTATCATTATTATTATTATTTATTATTATTATTGTTATTATTATTATTATTATTATTATCATTATTATTATTATTATTATTATTATTATTATTATCATTATTATTATCATTATTATCATTATTATTATTATTTATTATTATTATTGTTATTATTATTATTATTATTATTATTATTATTATTATTATTATTATTATTATTATTATTATCATTATTATTATTATTATTATCATTATTATTATTATTTATTATTATTATTGTTATTATTATTATTATTATTATTATTATTATTATTATTATCATTATCATCATTGTTATCAGCAGCAGCATCACTATCATCATTATTGTGATTATAGTTGTTGCTGTTGTTGTCTTCGCTTGTCTGTTTCTCTTTTCATTCACTCCTCTCGCTATCTCCTGTTCTGTCCTTTTCCAATCTCCCTTACTCCCTCTTTCGCTAATCTTTCCATCGCTTCTTTTCTCCGGTTGTTTTCTCTCTTTCTTCCTATTCTCTAAAATTCTTCCCTTCTCTTTCTCTCCTCTCGTTCTTATTCCTCATTACTTCTCTTTACTTTTCGTCGTTGTCTTGTCACCTATATATTTTTTTTCTGTTCTATCTCCTATATTTATCGCTCTGTTCCCCTTTCCCCATTTTCTATTCCTTCTTAAACTCACTAAAGTGTATGAGTAATTTTTCCTTTTTTTATGATTTTATTATCCATCTTTTTTTATTATTTTTATTTCCATTTTTTATGGTGTGTTTTTTGCATATTTTTTTCCCCATACGTTTGTTTATTTTGTTGTTCTAATTGTTTTTCCTTGTTCACCCTTTTCTAATATTTCTCCCTTGATTTTTCTTGTTATATTTTCCTCCCCCCTCTCTTTCCATAATCTTTATTTCTCACCTTTCTCTCTTTCTCTCTCTCTCTTTCTTCTTCTTCTTCTTCTTCTTCACTCTCTCTTGCTCTCTCCCTCCATAGCTCTTCCCTTTATCCTTCTCTATTTCCCTATCTCCCTTCCTCTCCCTCTCTCTATACATATATATATATATATATATATATATATATATATATATATATATATATATATATATATATATATATATATCTTTCTATCTATCTATCTTTATCTATCTATCTATCTATCTATCTATCTATCTGTCTACCTATCTACCCCTCTCCTCCTCCTCCTCCTCCTCCCCCATCTCCTTCCTTCCCTCTGTCTTCTCCCTCCAATTCCAGGTAAAAACATTAAGGTGTAATAGCGGGGGTAGTAGGGGAGGAGGGGAAGAGGGGGGGAGGCTAAGAAAGAGGTCCCCCCGCCCCCCCTCCCCACGCTTCCCACTGCCGTCTCCGCTGTCAACGCCCCCCCCCCCTTCCCCCCATTAGTTCCTCTCTTCTCCATCTCCTCTTTCTCGTGTCTCACTCCGCTCGACTCTCTCTCTCCCATTCTCTCTTCTCCCTTTTATGCCCTCTTTCGCTTATCACTTATCTCTCTAACTCCCCTTTTTAAAATCTTTCCTTTCCTTTTTCGTTTTATCCCTTTTCTCTCTTCCTCCTCCCTTATCATCCAATCTCCTCCTCCTCCATTTTCGCCCTCTTTCTCCTTTTATCCTCTCTTCTCCTCTCTCTCTCCCTCTTTCTTCTCTCCCCTCAATCTCCTCCACTCTCCCCTT